TTAAACATAAACCATTTGTGTTTGGTACAGTGACTCTGTGTACTCCTTCCATCTTCATATGATTCTGAATCATTCAATATTTTGCCCATAATATTGCTGTTGATAAATGCCATTGAATTGTTTTCAACTCATAGGGACCCCATATAGGATTTTAAGAAGCAGCTGGTGGGTTTCAACAGAAAACTTTGCTTTTAGCAGTCCAGAGCTTATCTTACAGCAACACACCAAAACTCCTGAAGTCACAGAGACTGTTCAAAAAGGCAAGACAAGATTTGAATTTTTTTCTTCAGTTTTTTTAGCTTTAGAAATGCTGAGCATGTTCTTCCCTTTTGGCACATTAGAACTCCAGGTCTTTACACATTGCTTTATAATACCTGCCTTTGTCTTCTTGAGCTGCCCTTTAAATTTTTCTGTTCAGCTCTTTTACCTGCTCATTTCTTCCATTGACTTTACCAACCCTATGCTGGAGAGCAAGTTCCAGAGTCTCTTCTTACATCCACTTTGGTATTTTCTTTCTTACTTGTATTATGTATGATCTTTAGCTTTCTTCCTGTATGATAGTCTTGATAGTCATCCCATAACTCTTTGGGTTTGCAGTCATTAGTGCCTAATGCATCTATTTTGTTCTTCAGATGGTCTCTAAAAGCAGATGGGATATGTTCAAGACCATAATTTGGCTCTCATGGACTTGTTTTAATTTTCTTCAGCTTCAGCTTGAAGGACTCCTGAAGTCACAGAGACATGTTCAAACATACAAGTCAAGTCTTGTATGTCTTCCACAATCTGCCCTGATCTTGTTTTGGCTGATGATATTGAGCTTTTCCACTGTCTCTTCCCACAGATGTAGTCAATTTTATTTCTGTGTATCCCATCTGGAGAAGTCCTTGCGGATAATCATAGTTTATGTTATTTTAAAAAGGTATTTGCAATGAAGAAGGCATTGGTCTTGTAAAATTCTATCACGCTACAATAGTGAATAATTGTTATCAGGACCAATTGTGAAGGTTGGAAATGTAAAGGTAGACATTACATAGCAAGGAGGGGAATGATTAACTTTGCAGTCTAGGAGTGGAGGTCCCTGGGACCATCAAGGGAGAAGAGTAGAGAGAGGAACCTTACCCAGAGAAGCAGTGACATCAGAGATGGAAGCAGAGACGATGATGTGGAGAGATGGAGCAGCTGGGGACTTTAGACCCAGAAAGGGATAGGGGCTGTGTGCTGACGACCAGGGGCAGGGGGCAGGCTTGCAGGGTATACCCTGTGATTGGCTGATGATGCATGGAGGGGATTGTAACCATGGCAATGAAATGATACACGATAGGATGAATATAAAACTAATGTTCTCCCATATAAACTATGACATAATTCACAATAAAACATTAAAAAACAAAAACAAAAAATTCTATCATGCGCTCTCCAGCATCATTTCTATCAATAAGTTCAACTTACCAAGTACTGATCCCCTTCCTCTTGGTTTCCAACCTTTACATTCTAATAGCCAATAATTATTAATACATCTTGACTGAATGTTTGATCAGTTTCATACTGAAGAAATTGACAGAATTCTTCAATTCATCATCACTGGCTTTAGTGGTTGGAGCATAAATTTGAATAACCCATCTTCCTTGTAGAGGTATGGGTATTATTCTATCACAGAGAGTGTTATACTTCAAAATAAATGTTGAAATGTTCTTTTTGATGATGAATGTGATGCCATTCCTCCTCAATTTGTCATCCCCAGTATAGTAAACCATATGATTGTCAGATTCAAAATGCTCAATGCCAGTCCATTTCAGCTCACTAATATTGATCTTTATCAACTTTGACAACTTTTCATCTTTGACAACTTCCAATTTGACTAGATTCATACTTTATACATTCCATGTTCTGATAATTACTGGATTTTTACAGCTGTTTCTCTTCATTTTGAGTTGTGACCCACCAGCAAATGAAGATTCTGAAACCTTCATCATCATAGTAAACTCAGCTTTGAGGAGGCAAATCTTCCCCAGTCATATTTTGAGTGCCTTCCAACCTGAGGTACTCATCGTTCAACATTATATCTGACAGTATCCTGGTGCTATTCATAATGCTTTCATCTTCTGTCATATATCTTATAATATTCTGCTGTTATTAATAAGGTTTTCATTGGCTAAACACTCAGAAATTGTCTACCTCTTCTTCCTCCTCATTTGTCTTAGTCTGGAAGCTCTGTTGAAACCTATCCAGCATTGGTCAACCTTCTGGTCTTTAAAATACCAGTGGTATAGCTTCCAGAAACACAGCAGCCACCACAGTATGACTAACCTACAGCTAAGTGGTTAGAAAGAGATGCTGGAGAAGCTCAGTATCATCAGCCATAACAAGGAACTGAGGGTGGAACAGACCATCAATTGCTCATTTTTAAAGCTGAAGCTGGAGAAAATGAAAACAGCCCACAGGAGTCAGAATGAGACTTTAAGTATATCCCACTGAATTTAAAGACCATGTCATGAACAGACTGATGCTCCAGAGGAGTTGTGGGATGAGATGAACATCATCATCTATAAAGAAAGCAAAAGGTCACTGGAAAGACAGGGAAGAGAAAAAAGACAAAAATGGATGTCAGAAAAGACTCTAAAACTTGTGCTTGAACAGAGAGAAGCTAAAGCAACTTAAAGAAATGAGGAAATTAGTGAGCTAAACAGAAAATGTCAAAGGGCAGCTTGGGAAGACAAAGTCAAGTATTACAATAAAATGTGCAAAGGGCTAGATTTGGGAAACCAACAGGGAAGAACACGTTCAGAATTTCTCAAACTGAAATAACCTGTAATATTGAAGGATTCTAGGGGAAATATTTAATGAAGCAGGAAGTATCAAAAGAAGATGGAAGGAATACAAAAAGTCACTGTACCAAAAAGAATTGGTCAATATTCAACCATTTCAAGAGGTAGCATAGGATGAGGATCCGAGAGTACTGAAAGAAGAATCCAGACAGCACTGGAGGAATTGGCTAAAAACAAGGCTCTAGGAATTAATGCAATAACAATTGAAATGTTTCAGCACGGGAGGTGCTCACTCACCTATGCCAAGAAATTTGGGAGACAGTTACCTGGGCAACTGATTGGAAAAAAAAATCCTTCATTATACCCCCATTCTAAAGAAAGGTGATCCAGTGAAATGTGGAAATCATCGAACAATATAATTAACATCACATGTAACTAAAATTTTGCTGAAAACAATTTTAAAAATTGTAACAGAATGTGGAACTAGAGATATCATTGCTAAAGACAGATGAATCTTGACTGCAATCAGAAAACACCAGAAAGATGTTTAGTTGTGCTTTATTAACTATGCAAAGGCATTCAACTGTGTGAGTCATTAACGAACTATGGATAACACTGCAAAGAATGAGTATTCACTTTATAAGGCTCATGAGGAACCAGTACTTAGACCAAAAGGCAAAAGCCAGAACAGAAGAGAGAATACTGAATGGTTAAAACCATTTATATTGGTGTTGTACCATTTCACTATATTTCTTCAGTCTGTATGATCCACAATCAATACTGATGGATATGGCAATCAAAAAATAAAATGGCATATTGCATTAGGTAAATCTGCTGCAAAAGACCTCTTTAAAATGTCAAGAGCAAAGATACCAGTTTAAGGACTAAGATGTCTCTGACCAAAGCCTCATATGCCTGTGAAAGTTGGACAATGAATAAAAACTGTAGAAGAATAGATGTATTTGGATTATGGTGTTTGAAAAGAATATTGAAAGTAGCAGGAACTGCCACAAGAACAAACAAATCTGTCTTAAAAGAAATACAGTCAGAATTCTCTTGGAAGAAATAACGACAGAATGGCAAGACTTCATCTATTATACATTGGACATACAACAGCAATGGTCTCAAATAACCAAAAATTGTGAGTAGGGAGCATAACCAGGCATGTTTTGTGATATTGTGCATAGCATTGGCATGAAACAGACCCAACTTGAGGGCACCTAACAATAACAACATACTGAGCAAATAATCCAATTCATATGATTAAACTGTATGAAGAAGAACCTGGCATCAGGATTGGAGGAAGACTCATTAACAACCTAAGATATGCAGATGATGCAACCTGCTTGCTGGAAGGGAAGAGAACTTAAAAATCACTGATGAAGATCAATGATTACAGCTTTCAGTATGGATTGCACCTAAACATAAAGAAAACAAAAATCCTCACAACTGGACCAATAAATAACATCATGATAAACAAAGAAAATATTAAAGTTCTCAAAGACCTTATTTTTCTTGGTTCCACCAACAACACTCATGGAAGCAGCAGTCAAGAAATCAAATGATGTATTGAATTAAGAAAATGTGTTGCAAAAGCCCTCTTTAAAGTGTTACAGAGCAAACACTTCCTGATTACAGATTTCTTATTAAGTGAATAAATAGAGCCTTATTTTCTTTAAACCATTCTTTTTTGTATTTTGCACTATATAGAATCAAATTCAATCTCTAACTGACAAAGATGATTAATATTCTATGTATACACGTATACTAAAGTTAAAAAAAGCTGATGATTTTTTAAAATGTTAAAATAATTTATTTTATTAATCGGTCGACAGAGAAAACCCCATATAATCATCTCAATAGGTGTATTACTTCAACAACACAACAAATGCAATTGTTAAAATGGAGTAACTTCCTCTATTGTTTTGTATTTTCATAGGAGGATAAATACCTTATAACATGATGATTAATGTACAGCTCAAAGCAAGAGCCAACAACATGCTTAAAAGTTTAAAAGAAGGGGCAGTAGCATTAAAACTAGGTTCAAAATATGGATATGCCTTAAACTTTAAGATAGGTATTAGCAAAGCATAAAAAGTCAGTTCGTGACTTTCAAATTGCCTATGTGGATTGTTTTGATGGATGGAAAAATCATGTTGAGAACTTACAAACACAAAAAGGAAACCTTAGTATTTTCAGTACTAATGTTTCTACATTAGGGTTATAAGTACTTACAGAGAAAGATATTTCTTCATTGTTAGATTTCATAGATGATTTTTTTCTATGTTCAGTGTCAATTCCATAGGCTTCTTCCAAATTAGAAACAACCTACCAAAAATTAAAGCAAATTAGTACTTTCATAGTTTAAAATTAGTTGTTTTGTTGTTGTTCTTAGGTGCGATCGAGTTGGTACCGACTCATAGCGACCCTATGCACAGCAGAATGAAACACTGCCCGATCCTGTACTAACCTCACAATTGTTGCCACGCTTGAGTCCATTGATGCTGCCACTTGGCCAATCCATTTCGTTGGGGTCTTCCTCTTTTTCTTGACCATCCACCTTACCAAACATGATATCTTTCTCCAGTGACTGCTCCCTCCTGACAATATGTCAGAAGTATGAAAGACGTAGTTTGGCCATCTTGGCCTCCAAGGAGCACACTGGCTGCACTTCTTCCAAAACAGATCTATTGATTCTTCTGGCAGCCCATGGCACTTTCAATATTCTCCTCCAACACC